TTGTGATTTTTTAGCAGCCGAGATCGAATCGTTGCAGGTATTTTCGCGTTGGCCTGGTCCAGGCAGGGCGATGACGTACAGAGAAAAACACAACACTCGAATCAATTGAACAAACGTAAATACTGATTTTATAACCCGTCTGTCTCTCTCTGGCAACAGACAAATTATTAGGGTTTTAGAAACGCAAATTCTACATGTAATGGTGCGAAGTATAAAACCCTAACCGGCCGTCCTGACTTCCAACACCGCGGCTGGTCGCTGAAGTGACCGCTTCAATCCAGAACTCACCTTATCCCACGTTGTGATTTAAGTTTGATCATAAGTTTGTCAAGTTAGAATTGTTACAGGTATCTTCGTATTGGGCTGGTCCATGCAGGGCGAAGACCTACAGGGAAACAAATAACACTCTAATAAACTGAACAAAAGTAAAAACTGTTTACAAAAGTAAATATCAGTCCTTCGTACACTAATTGGTTATATCAGAGTTAGCCTTTTCCCTATAAGGAAAGAAACATTTTTCATTCATTGACAGGGAGATCAACACTGTTTTCGATTGAAATTATTAAAATCTTTGTGTCAAAATACATTTTAGGAAAATAGATTTTTCAAATTCCGTAGTTCTTATCACTCCTTCCAGTATTGATGGGGGTTTCTTTCCGAAACTTCTAGAATGTTTACATCTTGATTATATCATTATTTTCTCTTCGAGTTACATGTGCTATCCATTTTAATTCTTGCTTCTATTGAAAGTCCTCAAGTGATGTGGTTTCTGTTATTTGGTACAATTCTTTGTTTTTGATTCTGTAGCACCAGTCTACAATATTTTAAATGTAAAATTTGTTTCAGCCTTCTTTGGTATGTTAAAGTTATATATTAATATATACAAAAATATATAAAACAAAGTGTATGAAGAACAAGGATAAAAATAACAACTTACTGGGAAATTGCTAGATCAAAAAATATAAAAGTAAAAAAGAAAAAATGGATTAAGTGGTTATCACTCTTCGTTCTTCAAAGCCAATCGAAGACAAAATGATAGGTTATATTTAGACGCAGGAAATATTCCTTTTACTTCTATACTTAATATAAATTTTTTCAAGAAAGCTTATTCAAAGCCATGATCTCCTTTGTTCTGAAAGAACGTGAAATTTTTCCGATTTTAACAATGACTAGCAGCATGCACCGACGTTGCCCGTGCTTGATTTAAAAATCGTACGACTCATACAGCAATCGCTATCACTTGACTTAAAATTTTTGCCCTTTCTTGTCTTTAAAGGAGTGCTGATGTTGCTACATGCCTTACTTCTTGCCTATCTCACACTGCGAATTTTTCTAAGCTCTATGCTAAACATTAAATCTGTTACGAAGAAAGAACTAAACAAAATAAACACAAAACGGTCAGCTTTTAAAAAAATGGACTCGTAACTGGAAAAACCGAATGAAAAAAGAATGTTAACAACAAATACTTTTTCACACCCAACCCAGTTCTGCGGAATCAGAATCACCGTTGAGTTTAAGCAAACGAATGAGCCAATTGGAGTAAAATGCCATGCAGATTTTAATTTTTTCCACTTGTGACGAATGCAGCTATCGATTTTTTTTGCATGCTAATTAACATTCGTGTCAGTCAGCTGTTCCATATAGGATTCAAGTTCGATTCTTGTTGGAAGACGAATATTTTCTATGAAAATTTTTCGGACATTCAGGCTGGTAAATGTTGTTAATACTGTTTATTATAAACAGAGCATTTACTTAAATATTTGTATCTATAAAAAAAGAACGTATAAACATAAAAAGTATATAAAAGCGAGGATAAGTAAAAACGTATTCACCTTAAAATGGTGGTTCAAAATAGAGACAACAAAATATAGAAATATATATACATCGTCTTTCGTTTTGTTTGTTTTTTTGTTTTTTACAACGGATTAAACGCGAAATTAGTCTTCTGTGCCTCGCCAGCCGTCTGCCATACTGTTTGATCTGAAACTAATTTGACACTAAGCGAAAAGAGAGAAAAAGAACTTTGTCTCAAAATGATGCAGCTAGGAACCTTGAGTATTGCGTGGATATTTCATTACGCCCATGTCGCTACCGAATGTGGCACAAGATCATTTTAAAATAGGAATCTTGAGTAGAGTGATCGTATAATGGATTCGGGGTGGAGGTAAGGGGTTCACAAGACCCTTGAACCGGCCGTGGAGAAAGCGCATTAATTTTATTTATTATTGCTACTGCAATATTTATATTTGAAATATTGAACCCTTAAGAATGTTGCACTTGTGACCATGTGGACAATACACAATTGGACCATATAGATACTTGTTGCCGGAAATTGACATCTCCCCATTAATTCTATTTAAAAGGCTGACTAAAATTTAACGCCAGTCTAAAAAACATGTTTCAGTGGGATTCTACATTATTAGATTTTGTTGAGTAACACTTAAGTTTGATTAGCAAGAAGAAGGAGAAGAAGAAGTATATAAACTAACAAAGGATGACTTTCAGGACCCATACAAAAACTAACATACTACCTGCCGACCAACTGATTGCTATTCTTTGTGTAGACAAATAATGTCTACCACCCACAAAGTTAACTATATTGGTAAATCCATATGTCAAAAAGTATATAGTTTTTTCTATGTTATTTTTATAAATAGAATTTCATTATTTCTATAGGAAACAAACACGCACACAAAGAGATGTATTCTTAGCTAGAGATGGGAATCTATGTAGGAAATCATTTTAGTAGAAAGTTTTTTTTTTTGTCCTTGTCTGCCAGAGAAAATCATGTTTTTTTTTTGTGTTGGTAAATTAAATTTTGGTATTTTTTTCCATGTCACGACAGGATGAGGTGAAAATATATGGGATAAGATCATGACTGTCAGCCCGTAGATTTGTATAAGTGATATATAATAGCCAAACTGCCGTTCATATTAAAAGAAGGAAGTGGCCAGCAAACACTGAGAAATTAGCATGAAGAAAAACCTTCTAGAAAAAAGTGATTATTTACATTATTCGGACTATTATCCTTATCTTTGTCGCCATGTTTATCACAACGTTTTGGCCGTTGTACGCTCCGGCCTTCTTCAGGTGGTTGGAATTTCGAACTGAACCCTTAATTTCGTTCACTGGGATAGACTGTTCCAGTTCCACGTGCCATGTTTGATGGATGTCAGTTATCAGTTATCTCCTGCTAATTTCCCTCTGAAAGTTCCCCACTGCCTTAACTGGGTATTGGACTCACACTCTTTGGGTCCTGTCACTGGATCTAACCAACGCCTTTATCCACTGTGCCATGTGTACATGGCTCAGTGGATAAAGGTGTTGGTTAGAATCCAGTGACAATAGTCCGAATAATCTAAACAATGTACATAATACCTCATCTCAGAAATATAGACAGACTTAGAAAAAGTGATGTTATGATTCATCAGCAGGCAACAGACATGAAATAGGGCATATATATATATATATATATATATATATATATATATATATATATAAATGATAGAAATATAGTTTTAAGGTATGGTTAATTTATTGGTAAACGTGGTTAATATCAGGTATAGAGCATGTTCCTTTTTGTTATACCGTGACCCATATGTGACCATAACCTGCAGTAGAAGTGGTGTTTCTTGGGCAAGACAGCCTGACAGAGCCCAACCCTCTTCAGAACGGCTTTGATTTCAGAGATTTCCTTCTCTTAGGGCTGTTGTCATCCAGGCTGTCCTGCTATTTACCCATAGCTCAGGATTCAAGAGCAATAGCACATAAGTGAATATAATGGATCCGACTGGAATTCGAACTCGGCTCTCCGATTCTTCAACCCCTTACTCCACCGTGCCTCCCATATATAAGATCAAAAACTAAGGTCCAATCCAAGTAGCTACAGTCTATTTCGTGTTTAAACACAATGTTTATGGCCTAAAGATTGTGTTCAAGCTTGACTTTCGCCTCGGTATTAACATCATGGTTGCAACAACATTTTCTCTGTGACTGAAAGGTTAACAACACGTCAGATCAGATGACGGTTCCCTTAAAGGGGTTACAGGTTCGATTCCTGTCGGAGAGCGCATATTTTCTACGAAATTTCTCAAACATACAAGCCAGTTAAAGTAATTAATGCTGTTTAATTAAAAAATCAGAGCATTTACTCAAATAAGTTATATCTATAAAAATAAAGTATGAAGAGAAAATATATTAAATAATTTTCGGACTTAATCCAATTCATGATATGTTATCATTGTTTACATTAATATATATTTCGTGAGCAGAAATGATCGATCGAGAAAAGTTGTCGAAGGTGTGTGTTTATAAACAGTAATTCGGAATTTGTCAACCAGACATCTCTCTGTAGCTGAATGGTTATCAGTACATTAGATCAAATGACTGTTCCTATACTGTTAGAGGTTCGATTCCTGTCGGAGAGCAGATATTTTCTACGAAATTTCTCGAACACTCAGGGCTGTAAATGTAATTAATAGTGTTTAAAAAACAAACCATTTACTTAAATAAATTATATCTATAAAAATAACGTATAAACAGAAAATATATTAAATAGCTGTTGAACTTAATCCATTTCGTTATAGTTATATATATATATATATACTAGAATGAATTTTCATCCACGTTACTATAAATGTTATTATTAGTGCGTGCACGTAATTGAGTTACTATTCCTATTTTTTTTTAGTAGGACTTCTCAAACTACGCCGAATTTTTTTTTGTTTTTTTTTATTAATTTCTCTGTTTAAAAGTAACCCTCAAAACAGGGATAGCAACTCCCTTAGATGTTCCCTTTTGAGTCGATGTTTTCTGGTAAAAATCTTTTTAAGCATTCATTACCACAGAACTTTTGATTTGACCCCATCCAAGGTAAGTTACATCCATTTCTTGACGGCAGTTTTACGTAAAAAAGATTTGGTGAATTATAATTTTTTGTAAACCTATCTCACTTGTACGAATAATAATGGCGAAAAATAGATTATCTCTTATTGCATAGAATGACAATATCTATCTATCTATCAATCTATCTATCTATCTATCTATCTGGTGCAGCATATACATTTACCTAATTTTCATTTCATCATAAAATAAAATTTAAAAACAGTTTTAGTTCTGGTTAATGAAAGTTTGCAGGTTGTTAGTTATATTTACTGAAAATATTTACAATTTAAAATGGTCGCAATTTACATTTACCTTAAACTCGTCTCAGCCAAAATGCATTACTTCTTCACTACGTCTTCCATTAGATTGTACCATGGCGTCATAAGACCTTCTTTTAGGTCTGAAAAACTTGAATATGGAATACACGAAACATTGCTCTCCATCATGGACCATATCCACAGGTTTCATGGCAGGGTTTGATGGAAGACAATTGATAAAAAAAAAAAAATCTACGGAAATGTTTCTTATACCAGATCTGCATCAAATCGATTATGTGTATTGGAAGTCCATCTTCAGTAAAGACATTTCTACATGTGGCTGACAACTAGGGCAACACATTACTCTCCAACATTTGCTTGTAAATTCTCCTATTCGCTTTCACGCCTTCAATGAACACCAATGTCGATTTCGAAACATCAGAAGCAACACCAGCCGAAGCCATTAAACAAGTTGGTGTCTGTCGCTTGAGAAAGTGGCGTAAATCCTGTCGTTTACGTAGGTGACCACAAATTCCAGAATGCAAAGCTTCTCGCCCGACAGAACGAAAACTTTGCCTGCAGCACATCTCTTCCCTCTGCCCTGTCGGTTTTGGTTGGGGGTACTTAAGAAGAGATGCCGTCGCCTAATCATTATAATTTTAGCCATAAACCCTCTTTCACGATTTGTCTTAGCAACCTATCCAAAATATCGAGCTCTTTTGGCATCTTCCTCACGCATTTTCGTCGATTTGTCTTCACCCTATTTTTGATGGCTTCACCGGACCTCCTGGTGGAAACTGAACGGTTTCTTGCCAGAATTGAATTTGGTGAAGTTGTTTGTTTCTCTGGGAAAATTCTTCCACGCATTAAAAAGAATTTTTCTGCAAATATTCAAATGTTTTATCTCCTCACAGTTCTTCATGCCAGCCATTTTTAATGCGACAATTTGATCACGTTTAGTTTGTGCTGCCATATTTAATTAAACTATAAGCAATAAAACAAAAGAATGTTTGGAAGTTATATGCAAAATCTGAAACCGTTATATGCAAATAGATAAGCTTCAATTTATGTAAATATCTACGCCGCAACAGGTATCTATCTATCGATCTGTATAAATTTTCTGTACCACCTCGAACAAATACACACACCACACACAAACAGAGACATATATATATATATATATATATATATATATATATATATATATATATATATATATATATATATATATATATATATATATATATCTGTGTCTGTATGTATGTATGTATCTGAATGGGTAAATATACGTAAGTATACGAGCGAGAGATCAAATGCATATAAACAATATATAGGGTAAGAAAAAGCAGTGCTCAATGTAAATTAACAGTGCAAATTGAGCATTTGTTAAAAAACTAAATGCTAAGAAATGTGGATTTTAATCTGTCTGTACTTTCTCTTTACTTATATATATATATATATATATATATATATATATATATATATATATATATATATATATATATATATATATATTCCAAACGATTTTAATTTAATTCTAAAATTAAATTAGAAGATTTTAGTTTCTGTTTTTGAAACATGGTAATTCCTGTGTAGCGATAGAACCATATTTTTAAATTCGGAAATTTATAATATAACAGGAAACAGTTGTATTAAAATCTGCTCAATACGCGGATAAAGTAAATAAATATGTACCATGCAAAGCTTTCAAATTTAAAATAAAAAATAGATCAATCAGGTAGCGTGATCGGCTGATCTCTATATATATATATATATATATATATATATATATATATATATATATATATATATATATATATATATATATATATATATATATATATTTTTTGTAGGTACAAAATTTAATGATCGAAATAAAAGTATAAAACTTAATATTACGAGACATATTAAAAACGGGCGAAGCAACCGGTTTCGCTCCCGCTCAAATTAACACAGAAAAATGTACAATAAAAGGAAGTTGTGGGAGGAGAAAAAAAATTACAAAAGGAACTAGAGACACTTTTACACAAAGAAGGCTTAAGGGACCAGATGTAAAGAGCCTCCATATATAAATATTTGGGCAAGAATCATTCTTTAATATATATATTTTTTTATTTATATTTTTCTTCTATGCGAACAAGTGTTTTCTTTTCTTCGTCTAATGAGTGTACAAATCGTCCAAGTATTTGTTGGTTGCGTGCGGTTTCGGCTAATCTATTTTCAAGGATTTTATTTATCCTACTATAACAAATTGTGTGTAAGTTCTCTAGTTAATAGTGTAAAAGATGCTAACAAATAAACAAAAAGCGGTCAGTATTTTGTGTCTGTGGTCTGTGTTTATCAGTGCTGTAACTAACATTTAGTCTATGTTTACACACACACACACACACACACACACACACACACACACACACACACACACACACACACACACACACACACACACACATATATATATATATATATATATATATATATATATATATATATATACATAAAAAAAAATATCTATAAGAACACCGGATTTTATATCTTACTGTTCTTTCTTTTTTTTTATATATATATATATATATATATATATATATATATATGCTCGAATTTCACTTACGCGCAAACAAACATGTCTCCAAGCAGACTGCGCTCTAAAGGAACTGTTTTAGGTGGAAAATATGGTTTCAAAATTTAAGGACAGCTGGTTGGGGAAGTCGTGGCGCATTATGTACACCAGTTCGCTGTATTCGGTTCATTGGAAAAGTGCGTTTGGTTCTGCACAAGCATATATATATATATATATATATATATATATATATATATATATATATATATATATATATACGTCCTCTCTCTCTCTCTCTCTATATATATATATATATATATATGATATTTATTTAGAAATTATAATATAAGTAACATCACGACAGAAATAGCTATTTTGTTTCAACACTTGGGGTGTATTGTATATATATATATATATATATATATATATATATATATATATATATATATATATATATATATATATATATATATATATATATATATATATATATATATATATATATATATAAATTCAAATGTTCACAACATTAATTTAAAAGAGGGTACGATACCGATACTAGAGTAATAATTATTTATTATAATTCTCTCATATAGACAAAAAGTTTACTCATTACAAAGATGCAACTTCGTTTCCATTTTTGGTTCTCGCCAGTCGAAGTGCAGTTGAAATGAACCGAAACGAAGTTGCATTTTGTAGTGAGTAAAGTGTTTTGTCTATATGATAAATTTATAACACACACACACACACACACACACACACACATATATATATATATATATATATATATATATATATATATATATATATTATATTTATTCAGGTGTATGGATATAAGTTTGTGACCCTGGGTTTCACGCTTTTGCGATTATCGGACAAACGGATATATTATTTTAAAATGGATCTATTTATGCTTGTTTGACTCTGTTTGGTGGTGGTGATGGCGGCTGCAATTTCCCTCCGTCCTTATTCGGGATGACACTCTCACATACATAGACCCACACCCATACAAGTGTACGTATTTTAGTTCACATAAACGCACTCATATAGACAATCCGAGGCCAGGCGCAGATACACATCCAACCGCTTGGGCATACATACATACATACGCAATTTTAATTCTATTTTGGTGTCAGTTCCATGGCTCTTCATGTGCAGCGATGTTCATTTCAACAAGCAGTGTGTAGGGCTGTTCTTGACGCTTCTCAGATCTATCGCCTGAGTCATGTATATGAATACGTTAGCTCTATCACTGATATTGAGAGTATTACAAATTATATATATATATATATATATATATATATATATATATATATATATATATATATATATATATATACGGCCTCGGAAAATTTAATTCCGGTCGAGCACTCTAGAGAGAAAGCGCGAATTTGTAAAAAATGATTTCTACTGCTAATACTGCAAAGCTCTTCTGTGAATTGTCCTCTCTCAGTCATTAGCGTGTTTATTCAAAGAATAAGCACATAAAAATCCAACTTCCTCCCTTACCGGGCGCCGATAACTCAGGGATAAAATCTCGACTGATTCTAAGTCAGTCTGGTTTCGATCCCGGCTTAAGGCAATGTTCGATATCCATTCGGGTCCGTTACATTCACTTACGAGCCAATGCCCTTGGGAAAAGCATGAATCTATCTACCGCCAACCATAGGTGAAATAGTAATGAATATACATTATATATATATATAGTGTATCTCGAAAAAATCATTGTTATTCTCAAGCAATTTTTAATGCAATATTCACTTGCACAGAAATAAATATTATCGCAATCCTAAATGTCTTTCTGTTATAAATAACTCACAAAGGGTTAACAGCACGTAAAAAAAAAACATATCAATCAAGTTGTCCAACATAATTATGTATGAATTAGCATTCGTCAGGAATGCAGTTCTTTATGGGGCATGTAAATTCATATTAATTTTGGTCTGTTATTATTTTCATTTTTCTGGTGTGCTTTGAAAAGGTTGGATACTTAAGATTTTTCTTATAATAGAGAATTAACTTGATGTTCTTAGTTTGTTCAATTGGAGCTGTGGAATTTTAATAATATTCTTTAAAAGAAGTTCATCTTTTTTGTATTGTTTGTGCTTTTATTGGGTAAAATATATTAATATAGTTTACCTGTTTGAATTTCATTTTGTTTTGTTTTCATTTTTTCTTCCTTCCTTCCTTTCTTTCTTTCTTCCTTCCTTTCTTTATTTCTGCAGTACTTCCTGCATAAGCCTTAAATATTATTATCACTCGTGGTAGTAGTTTGACTGTTCAGTTATAAGAACTGAACTGTTGGGCCATGATACTTCGAAAACGATAAGAGTGACCATCATATATATATA